ACCAAAGAGTAGTATGTCAACTCTATTGCTAGGAACGTTACCTAAGGTAGAGATTACCCCGAACTGGTAAATTGCATTCAGACTGGGAGGACTGTAAGTACCTGATAGGAAGCCACAGCCCTGGGCTTCCCTAAGCACAGTGACTCTTGGAACAAACATGTCTCTTTCGGGACACTAGAAGCTATGACTGTGGAGTTGTTAGAAAAGATACTTGCTCCCGTGAGACAAGAGGCTTTTTAGCCAGGATAACTCCCATTCCTGCCCAATGTGGGTCGTCTCCTTGTTCAAAACTCAAGTGATGAACATAAAAATCGCTCCCAAAGATCACAGTTGTCAATGAAGAATTGGCAGTAGTAAAATCATCATCTACTTCTGCTAAAGGTCCTCCTTCACTTACGATGGTTTATATCATGCGATCACAACAGCGTGATTTAAAATTAGGACATGTTAGAAACCAACCCAACTATTCCTGCCATCTTTCCCCCCACCCCCCATGTATCTCTACAGAAGCATTATTTGAAGAAAAGAATTCAAATTTTCAGCACTGTAATGACAGGTTTGAGGAACACAGTGATATGGGATGTGGAAATACTGAATAAAAATGAATGAAAACACTGCCCTTCAGAAGCAACTGAATAAAGTGCTCCTTTTTTTGGGTTAGAAGATAGTGTGATCACGTGAAAGCACAAGACAAGCTATAAAACAGTGGTAATACTCAAAACAGAGTATAATAGGATTTCTCACCCACCCAACCCGCTGCCCCTCACAGAGATAACTCCATTGTCAATGCACAAGGAACACACAATAACAACCTAGAACTCCAAGGGAAACAGTGTGGATTCGGTCTCCAGTCTCCCCCAGTGTCCTAAGAATCAGCACACGCAGCCCCACCTGTTACCTTTCTATGGGGTTCGTCGCAACATCAATTAACAACAATAACAAAAAACCATCACAGCATTCTGAACCACCAGAATACTCTATGCCACAGCATTCTGCAGACCACGAGGGTCAGTCATTTTCTTAAGGAATATTCAAAGTCTAATGGCTACCAAAATATTTACACTGGAATGGCATCTTTCTGCCAAATGACCAGAAGTCATGTTGCTCTGTGTCATTTCTTAATTTATTACAATTATAGGTCTTATTTACATTCCTCCCCAACCCTTGCTATGAAAGCCTGACCCCTTCCCCCGAGAGAAAAACTTTCCAAGGATGCCATTTGTAAATTTCATCCCAAGTAAAAATCCTGTCCCCATTCATGCAATATATCTGCTAGAGGATAAAGGTATCCTTTGTGAACTTGGGCAGAAAGATGTCAGAATACAGCCTAAATCACAGTCTGTGTTGGACCCAACTGGGAATATACTTATTATAAAACTATCACCAATAACACAAATTACACCTCAAAGACACTGTGCAGATTATAAATACTGATCACCAAATGTGAACATAAATTTAAAACAGGACAGTTTGTGATCTGGCAGTCCAGACAAAGATCTCCTTTAAAAGTGACAGAATTCAATGATCTTAGTTACTATGAGTGTCAACACAAACTCTAGACAGCCAAACAGGAATGCAACAATCTAAAATATTATGGAAAAAGTGAGTCACTTAAATATTAAGCTTCATGTTCCGTTTTCCTTCCAGTGATTCTGCTACTTTAAAATTTAATAAAATGATAAAAGCCTAGAGTAATTCTGGAGGTATGAATCTCAGTCAGAATTTCTAAGTTTCCATATCATCAGGTTATGGGCAAGCTGTGAATAATTTGGCCTCCACTCCACATTTTGCTAATCCGCTATTTTCCAAAACTTGTGGGAGCATACAGGTTTATTAATATTTTTTAAATTAAAAAAAATCAATAAGATGTTTTTATTGATTTTTAGAGAGAGAAAGGAAAGAGAGGGAGAAACCTCAATCAGTTGCATCCCCCACACACCCTGACAGAGGACTGAACCCACAACCTGGGTATGTGCCCTAATGGGCAATCGAACCCGTGACCTTTCAGTGTACAGGACAATGTTCCAACCAACTGAGCCACCCCGGCCAGGAAAGAGTCCATTTATATTAAAGTAAAAGGTAGCATAGCTTAAAATATAACACAAAATTAAGTTCACTCATTCAAAGTCATTTTTTTTAAATCTTACTTTTTAGTGGGGTTTCTTAACCTTGAACTCTTAACATGTTGAGCTAGATAATTCTTTGTTGTCAGAGACCATCCTATAAATTATAGGATGTTTAGCAGCATCCTTTCTTCTACCCACTAGATGCCAGCAGCTCCCTGCCCCAGTCGTAACAATTTAAGAATGTCTCCAGACATCGCCAAATCTCCTCTGGGTGGCAAAATCACCCCCAGCTGAGAATCACTGTCTTACAATGAAATCTCTAATGTAAATTTTCTTACTTTGCACCCAGTAATATGAATAGGTCATGGGGTCACTGAAGAGGCTCCTTGCTCTACCAGAGAAACTAGGCAGAGAAGTGAAATTGTGAGGTAGAAAAGTCTTTTAAAATATCAAAAATACTTTAAACAGAGAGAGAAAAGCAATCAAACATAACTCCTTGCAAAGTAGAGCTTCTACACATCCACTGAGGTTTGCCTTTCGCTAAGATCCCTCTATTCAAACAACAGCTAATATTTTCATTTTAGGTTTAAGAAAAATGTTTCTGGTCCTAAAGAAGTTTCAATTTGCACCTCTTGGTTTAGAATAATTTTGAAACTATCTGTGGTAAAAGATGTTTTCTTTCTTTTTCTGATAATCCTCTCCCGAGGATATTTTTTCCATTGCTTTTCAGAAAGAGTGGAAGGGAGGGAAAGAGGGAGGAAGGGAGGGAGGGAGAGTAACATCAATGTAAGAGAGATACATAGGCTGGTTGCCTCCTGCAGGCTCCCAACCTGGGGCAGGAAGCGAACCTGCAACCCAGGTACATGCCTTTGACTGGAAATTGAACCCGAGACCCTTCTTTGCTCAGGCTGATGCTCTAACCACTGAGGCATGCCAGCTAGGGCTATATCCTATAGATTTTTTAAAAATATATTTTTATTTATTTCAGAGAGGGAAAGGGAGCAAGAAACAGAAACATCAATGATGAGAGAGAACCATCAATGGGCTGCCTCTCAGACACCCCACTCCGAGGATGAGCCCACAAGAGCCCTTAAGAGCCCACAACCCAGGCACGTGCCCTGACTGGGCATCAAACTGCCTGGGAATCACACTGCGACCTCCTGGTTCACAGGTTGACACCCAACCACTGAGCCACTCTGGCTGGGCTATAGCCTATAGGTTTTAGAAAGATTACCTATAATAATATAGAACTGCTAACACTGAACACTAAATACACTTTCATTAGCATTATTTATTAAGAAAAAAATAAAAGTACTATCTAAAACAGGTTGGGCCAAATCCTGCTTACTGCCTATTTTTTGCAAGTAAAGTTTTATTGGAATACAGGCACACCCATTCTGATTCTCGAATCACTGAGCCACACTGGCCAGGGCACAAGACCAGTTTTTAAATTTCCAATCTACTGCAGACCAATACGTGGTCCTGCTGTGTGGACTGGTATCAAACAACTCAGACCAGCACCGTGTGAGGACCACAGATTGAGTCACAACGAGCTAAACTTTAACTTCTACCGAGGAGTTTAAATACCTTTGAACTCTTCAATGACTAGCATTTACAAGCCAATTTATGATGTTTTGATGATCTTTTTGTTTAAGAGACAGAAAAAAAAAGTGATTTTACTACCTTTTGAAACATAACTATACTAAATTCAAGGAAGAAAAAGGGATTTCTTTTATTTTTTTCCAAGTTCAAAGGAAAGTGTTTTGTTTGCCTACTTTGCTTCATTAGGGATTTCTTTAAAAATCCATTTTGGATACCTTAACATAAGACAGAATTATGAAAGTGCCTTAAATATATTTTACATCCCTAATATTTCCTGCTCTCTAGCCCTTTAAAGAAGTACAGCCTTTTGTTAGAATAACTGTATGGCTGCTTAGTGGGGAAAAGCAGACTGGTTTAAAATTCTGTACTTCCACAAGCTTCTCTTTCCTTCCAGCGGATCTTTTAAAAGGGAAGCACTTTGGAAATATAACTTGTTTAGATGGGCTTACACTTTCCCTCCAATTAAAGTTCCATTCACAAACTCAGTGAAAGAATGTCAGTGGTAGCTCCAGTCCCAGCAGTGTAGCCTTCGGAAATGGCTTGAAGAAGCAGGGGAGAATTTTTAGTTTTGCCCAGATGGCTTGTTTTAGGTTATATGTGTGTAGAGAATTGTCAAACGCCAAACTAAGCAGGGAAACCATCCAGACCTGGGCTCACAGGGTCCCTTCTCGGGACAAACTAAAAATTTAATCCAACTGGGCAAGCCAAAGTGCCAGAAGAAGGCTTTGAGCTTATTTCCATGCTTATATGCACATAGACATCCCCAGCTTTTACAGTGGCAGTCCTAGATTTAGGAAGTAGCTTTTATAATCATGTAGAAGGCAGTCCCGCCTGCCCTGCACAATAAAGCTTTCTCTTAAATACTTCAGAAAATTAGAATATGGAATTCATTAGGAGAGGCTTGGCAGAGGTAAAATTATTCTCAAAACTTAATACATCCTTGCCCACCTTTCTGGGGAAAAGAGGATGACCACGAAGGAATGCAGAGATGGAGACACTATGAGAACAAGCATGGGGGTTTCTTATCTTTCTCCTAACCACAGTTCAGGTGCACAACAGGAAAAATGAGACGCCTGAGGGCCAGCCTGGACTCATTCGGAATTGAGGAAAGGTCAGCAAAGCCCTCAGAGATCAAGGGCACCAAACTACAAACTCATTAGTCCTTTGAGTCACAAGATCCAACCTCTACTAGGTCATCTAACAAAAATGCAAATATATTGACACGGAAAAAAAAATGTTCATCTCAGGGTTCCACAAAACCGAACAAATGGTGTCTTTCAACCACAGAATGAGCAACGACAAATCCCAAAACCTCTCCCCGCCCATCTGCTGCTACATGAGTGTCTCTCGGTCTGTCAGGTTGGGCTGGATCTGTGGTCTGTCGTCGGAGTCGTCTCCGGCAGGGTCGTTTTCCTCACCGGACTCCACGTAGATTGGCCAATCATTGTCTGTGTCACTCTTTTCTTGGCTTTCGGAGGACGCCTCCACCAGGCTGAGGTTGATGGGCATCAAACTGTACTCGTCATCATGTGTGTCTGCCACGCAGGTGCAGCTGTCACACAGCCCAAAGCGCCTCAGCCCCTGCGACATGTGATTCGAGAAGGTTCTTCTGCAGCCCTTGCAGATGATTGGACAGTTGGATCTGTGGACCTGAAACCACAAGTAGATACAGTTAATGTCACAGAAATGGGGTTGAGTCGTGACCCCATGGGATGTGGGCCCTCCAACCTCATTTCTCTCCACTCTTCCCTTATTCCATCTGCCATACTCTCAGCCTCACCAAGGTCCTTTCAAAGAAGTCGTCTCTGATGCTCCAGGCCAGGTTAGCCTCCTATCCCCCCAGCTCTATAGTCTCACTTATGCTTCTTCCTTGATTATCTGGGGGGGGATATGTCCCCAGATCCTCAGTGGATGCCTAAAACCTCAGATCATACCAAATCCTATATAGACTATGTTTTCTCCAATACATACATACCTGTTCACTTAAAGGAAGCTCTTCTGGCTTTTGTTTGGCAAATCCAAATTGCCAGCATGCTAGTCTTGTGTTCTGGGGCCATTATAAGTAGAAGAAGGGTTACATGTGCATAAGCACTGAGATACCACAACAAGCCTGATAACCAAGACAGCTACTCAGTGACTGATGAATGAGCAGGAAGCATATACTAGTACAGCGCGGAGACACCATCGAAGGGATGGTTCACATCCTGGGATGAATGGAGCGCGGTGCGAGAGATTTCATCACACTACACGAAAAACATCATGCAATTTAAAACTTACGAACTATTTATTTATGGAATTTTCCATTTAGTATTTGCAGATCACAGTGGACCACAGGAACCTGAAACTGTGGAAAGCTAGACTGTGGATAAGAGGAGACCACTGTACTTTTAACAAATCCTTGGTAAAACTCACTCAACTGTAAGTTCCAAGCTGGTTGTCCTCTGCCTGGTACCATATGCCCAGGGCCAGGCATATTAAGGGCACTCGGTGAACTGGTCAGGGTTTTAAGCCTGGCTTCTATGTACCTTGGGCTGTTTAGTTATTAGGGAGGCAGATTTGCTAGACAGTGTATTCCCCAGACAGTGTATTCCCCAAGGCTTCCCCCATGCCTTTTATATTTCCTACCCCACACAGCCCAGGGACCCCCTGTGTAAGGAACTATCTTTCAAATGTGCGCACTCTTCAGGAACTCCGGCCAAAAAGGGCTCTGGGAACCAATCGGAGCCTCTCTTTTGGAGAGCCATGGATGTGGGGTGTGTGCAAGCAGCAGAGGAAAAGAGGCTGATGCAGAAGAAGGGCCAAAAGCATGACCCCCAGGTTCTGGAGCTGCCATCACATTGACCAGTGTCCCTGGTTCCCGTTAGGTTTCCTGGGCTTCCTATGCGAAACCCCCGCACTTGAGCCAACCTGAGTGTGTCTTATAACCTTCCAAACTGCCAGGGCTTGTATAACGTGGAAGAAGAGAGGAAATGAGGATTCCAATCAATAAAACATCTTAGAAGCATCCAGGGGCCTATTGCTGCCAAGAGAGACTGTAGATATAAACTGGGAGGAGTGGGGAGGGAAAGAGCCGGGTGGGGGGGTGGGGCGGGGGAGACAAACAAACAAAAACGTAAGTCCTTGGGAGAAGGCCATTCTCACACAAGTTTGCTGGGGCCAGTACTCACAGCAAAGGCAGTAACCTTGCACTTAACTTCAATCTGGATTTTTTTTAAAAACATATTTTATTGATTTTTTTTTTTTTTTTATCGAGAGGAAGGGAAAGGGATAGAGTTAGAAACATCGATCAGCTGCCTCCTGCACACTCCCTACTGGGGATGTGCCCGCAACCAAAGTACATGCCCTTGACCGGAATCGAATCTGGGACCTTTCAGTCCGCAGGCCGACAATCTATCCGCTGAGCCAAACTGGTTAAGGCTTTTTTTTTTTTTTTTTAAATATATTATTGATTTTTTTACAGAGAGGAAGGGAGAGGGAGAGACAGTTAGAATCATCAATCAACTGCCTCCTGCACACTTCCTACTGGGGATATGCCTGCAACCAAGGTGCATGCCCTTGACCGGAATCGAACCTAGGACCTTTCAGTCTGCAAGCCGACCTCTATCCTCTGAGCCAAACCAGTTAGGGCTGGATTCTTTCAGAATCATAATTCATACCATAAAGTTTTCCTCTTAAAAGTGTGCAATTCAGTGGTTTTTAATAGTCACAAGATTGTGCAACCATCTAATTCTACATTTTCATCACCCCTGGCCTATAATGGTCACAGCTTTCCCATTCCCACCTGCCCACCCTCTGGCAACCCCGAATCTATTCTCTATCTCTGTGAGTCTTTCCATCTTGTACATTTCATATAAATGGAATCATCCAGTCCAAGCTGGTTTGGCTCAGTGGGTAGAGCATCAGCCTGTGGACTAAAGGGTCCCAGGTTTGATTCCGAGGCTGATTGCAGCCAAGGGCACATGCCCAGGTTGTAGCTCGATTTCCTCCCCAGCAGGGGATGTGCAGGAGGCAGTCGATCAATGATTCTCTCTCATCATTGATGTTTCTATCCCTCTCTCTCTCTTTTTTCCTTTCTCAACTCAATAAAAATATTAAAAAAAATTTTTTTAATGGAATCATACAGTTTGTGGTCCTTTGTGACTGGCTTCTTTCACTTCGCATGTTTTCAAGGTTCATCCATGTTGTAATGTGAATCAGAACTTCATTCCATTTTATGGCTGAGTAACATTCCATTGTATAGATACACCTTTTGCTTGTTCATCCATCCGTTGATGGACATTTGGCTGTTTCCACTTGTTTACTATTATGAATAATGTTGCTATGAACATTTGTGTGCAAGATTTTGTGTGAATGTGCGTTCATTCTCTTGGTTATATATCTAAAATTAGAAACGTTGAGTCCTGTAGTAACCTTATGCTTAACTTTTTGAGGAACCGCCCAATGGCTGCACCATTCTACATTCCCACCAGCAATGTATAAAGTTTCCAATTTCTCCACATCTTTGCCAACACTTTGCTATTATCCATTTTTTGATGCTAGTCATCCGAGTGGGTATAAAGTGGCATTTCATTATGGCTTTGATTTGCCGATCTGACAAAAATATCGGTATACTTTTGATTCATTCACACGGGACAACTACTGTTGTGTTGGCTGCTGTCAGTTTTTCATTTGACAATCTAAGGGGAAAGAGGTCAGTGCCCCTGACTACACAGTCAGGCACTGCATGTTTTAAAAATTCTTGCAGCACACCTCTATGCCTCTTGCGGCACACTGGTTAAAACTTGCTGTGCTGGACAAATGTCAGGAGCCACCCACACACACACCACAAAAGATCTGCCAGCTCACTTACGCTCAGGGCATGGCTCCGCAGGTGCTCCTGTCGAGTGAATCGCTTGCCACAGATCTCACAGGGGTAGGGCCGCTCGCCCGTGTGTGAGCGGATGTGCCGCTTCAGGATGCCCTTCTGTTTGGCAGTGTAAGGGCAGAAGGGACATCTGTGGAGCTTGATGGGGACCACCAGCACATCGCCTAGGAAACCAAACAGATTAATTTAGCTGTACCGTCAGCAGCAACAACACTGGCCACGCCTCCGATGGGTGGGATCTGGGGCTGCAGAATGCCAGCAGCGCAGATCAGGAAGGTGGATCAGACCTCTGGACTAGGATTCACGTTTTGACCGTAGCTCCTCAGAAGAGCTTCCAGGCATGTACAGAGGAGGTTTGCTATGATGCAGACTTAAATCGTTGGAATTCACATTAACTCTCTATATCTGAAATCATCAAATATCCAGGAATTCACTTAAATCTCTTTCCAACTTTTTGTTTGTTTGTTTACCTTGCTCATACAACCGTTAAGGTGGCACATGTACAGAAATGTTCCTTTCAAGTTACAGGAGTTACCCTTACTGCAGCATTCCAAGACTTGTTCCCTCTATCCATGCCCTTGGGGGTAGATATATCGGGAGCTTAGGGAGAGAAGGGAAGAACACGGTCTTGAGAGGCAGCAGATTGGAGTGGTTGCTTTACCTGAGCCCTGCCTCTCTCTTGAGCACTCTACTTCCCTCAACCCACAGTCCACACCTCAAATTGTGCTTCACTGTCAATTCCAGGCCACTGTCTCTTCTTTGGCCTCAAAAGCCAGTCAGGGCCCCAAGGGTTTCTTAAAATATATTTTTATTGATTATAGCAGGACATAATGCTTTGACAGTACCTGCGAATGCTGGGATGAGCAACATGGATATAGAACTATTGACCATCTCCTTGTCCTGGTCTCCCAGCTGTATACCATCATGTGCTGAGGCCAAATTAAGCTCCCAAAAGCACAGCTCTGCACAAGCTCAGAAAGTATGGAAAATCTCCCCTGTGCCTACAGATAAAAACCTCATCTCTTAGCATTCAAGATTTTCCACCCGCCACGTGTGAAGAAGCAGCCACACCCAAAAAAAATAGGAGGAAAAAATCTAGAACTATTTCAAGTTTTATCTTTTTTGTATATGAAAATGAAATAAAATAATATTGAAAAAAAAAAAAAAAAAAAGATTTTCTGCCGAAACTGGTTTGGCTCAGTGGATAGAGCGTCGGTCTGCAGACCGAAAGGTCCCAGGTTCGATTCCGGTCAGGGGCATGTACATTGGTTGCGGGCACATCCCCAGTAGGGGGTGTGCAGGAGGCAGCTGGTCAATGTTTCTCTCTCATCGATGTTTCTAGCTTTCTATCCCTCTCCCTTCCTCTCTGTAAAAAAATCAATAAAATATATTATAAAAAAAAAAAAAGATTTTCCATAATCCAACTCTAGTCGATTTCTTTCTATGTCTCTTTTATCCTCAGATGCCACATTCATAAAGCCTCCCTGATCGCCCAGCAGGAAGCCAGTTCTCCAGCTTTTGGACAGTTAGGAAACTCACACTGCCATTTGTCTTCCAGCCCTACTACCTTTAGATCATGTGATTACACACGTCTTACCTCCTCTGAGTTCTTTAAAAGCTGAATTCATGTCTAACTTATCTTTGTAGCTTCATCGAGAAGCTACTCAAATATTTGAGCAAATAAATGAATGACCAGACCGGCTTGCCTGGCTCAGTGCTTGAGTGTCAACCTATGAAACAGGAGGTCAAGGTTCAATTCCCGGTCAGGGCACAGCCTGGGTTGTGGGCTCAATCCCCAGGGTGGGACATACAGAAGGCAGCCTATCAATGATTCTCTCGCACCACTGATGTCTCTCTCACTCTCATTCCTCCTTCCTCTTTGAAATCAATTTAAAAAAAATTTTTTTTTTAATGAATCACCAAACAAATCAGTCCTACTCTTTGCCTTGGCACTTAGAATAAGTTTAGCCTGGAGTTGTGTGAGTGGAATAAAAACCTGGCAGACAACAGGTATGGCCAGGGGCCAGGGTGGCTGTCTTGCCACAACACCCTGTAGTTGGAAACCTGACTTTCTAGGCTAATAGACAGGACTTGAACAAAGATGGCTGGCGTACAGCTGAATTACTTTTTGAAACCTGTACATACAGGCAGGGGTGTTGAAAGACAAAATCACTGCACTGGCCGAAGCCGGTTTGGCTCAGCGGTAGAGCGTCGGTCTGCGAACTGAAAGGTCCCAGGTTCGATTCCGGTCAAGGGCATGTGCATTGGTTGCAGGCACATCCCCAGTAGGGGGTGTGCAGGAGGCAGCTGGTCGATGCGACGTTTCTAGCTCTCTAGCTCTCTTCCTTCCTCTCTGTAAAAAATCAATAAAATATATATATTTTTTTAAATCACTGCACTGAAATCCTCTATCCACTTGAGGTGCCTTCAGTTTGTTGAATGAGTGACGTGAAGCCAGCCCTGGTCTCTGGCTTTAGCTGTGCTGCTACCAGCCCTGCGGTCTCAGGAAACTCACCTACCCTCTGAGTCTCAGTTTCTCTACACATTCATTAACGTCCTTTGCCAAACTCATGGCTATCACGAAGGTCCAATGAACGTTAAAGAGTGATTACAATCTGTGAAGTGCTATTATGTACACGGAAATGAGATTTCAACAAGTTCCCATAGTGAGTTCCGTGAAAGCAGCTGCTACCTGCTAGATGTTGGTTAAGACAGTGTCTCTGAGAACCCGAAACAGCATTTTTAAGTTTTTCAAGTGTTCTTGCTTCAAAAAAATGAAATTAGCCTGGCTGGCGTGGCTCAGAGGTTGAGCACTGGCCTATGAACCAGGAGGTCCTGGGTTCGATTCCCGGTCAGGATGCATGCCCAGGTTATGGGCTCCATCCCCAATAAGGTGTGTGCAGGAGGCAACCAATGCATGATTCTCTCTCATCATGGATGTTTCTCTCTTCCTTCTTCTCTGAAATCAATAAAAATATAAATATTTTAAAAAATAAAATTTAAAAAATCTAATGATAACTCACTAGTAACAAATAAAAGCAGCTGTTCTTCCTTATTTAAAATACTTTTACTGCCAAAACCGGTTTGACTCCGTGGATAGAGTGTCGGTCTGCGGATTGGAGGGTCCCAGGTTCGATTCCGGTCAAAGGCATGTACATTGGCTGCGGATACATCCCCAGTAGGGGGTGAGCAGGAGGCAGCTGGTCAATGTTTCTCTCTCTCTCATTGATGTTTCTATGCCTCTCCCTTCCTTTCTGTAAAAAAATCAATAAAAATATATTTTAAAAGTAAATAAATAAATAAAATACTTTCACTGTTCCATGTTGAAGTGTGTATAAGAATTTTGATTCATTAGTTTCTTGGCTTCAGGTTCTAGAAGCTACAGCGTACTTTTATCAGGAAGGTGACAGCCAAGTGTATTTGTATCTCCTATGAGACATTTTACAACACAATTAGCTCACTATTATGAAGAGCTAAGTCATCTTTCAGAATTGTTCAGGAACACAATCAAGTTCTCTTAAAACAAAAAACCTAAAAAAGTACAAAAGAAATTTATTCACATGAAGAATTACATATTGGATGTCCTGAGAGGTTAGATTGCTGTCAGACATGGTCATAGAAAAATGGAACTTCCAGATGATAAACAATGGAAGACAGAAGGGTTACCATGAATAACTATACAGGAAAAGCTGGCTGTATGAGGGCTACGGGGACTGCAATGAAGCTTGGAGATATATGGGTGGCTTAGCAAGCAATGCTTCCTTTGTTAGTTCATTATTAAAAGGATTTAAATGGGGATTTTCTGCATTTGTGGTAGCTGTAGGGGCTGAATATTACCTGGAATCCCAGAATAAAGATAAGAAGCATCACTGAGATAATACTTAGAAGTATCTTAGTGGCTTAACTCTCTTATAAAAATTAGATTTCTTCCCTGGCCCAGTGTTGCTCAGTGATTGAGTTTCAACCTATGAACCAAGAGGTCACTGTTTGGTTCTGATCAGGGTTCCATCCACAGTAGGGGGCATGCAGGAGGCAGACAATCAATGATTCTATCTCATTGTTGATTTTCTATCTATCTCCCCCCCCTCCCTTCCTCTCTAAAATCAATAAAAATAAATATTTTTAAAATAATAATAATGAGATTTCTTCATTGTAGCATACTCATCTGGTTGTTTGCCTCTTAAAAAATACTAAAAAAAATTCAATAAAGAATACATGTGCCAGCCATGACTGGCGTGGCTCAGTTGGCTGGGCATAGTCCTGTGCACTGGGAGGTTTCCAGTTTGATTGCTGGTTAAGGGCACATGCCTGAGTTTCAGGCTCGATCTATGGTAGAGGCCGCTGATTGATGTTGAATTCTTATATCGATGTTTCTCTTTCTCCCTCTCCCTTCCTCTCTGAAATCAATAAAAATATATTTTAAAAAAACAAACCAGCCAAAACTGGTTTGGCTCAGTGGATAGAACGTCGGCCTGCGGATTGAAAGGTTCCAGGTTCGATTCCGGTCAAGGGCACTCCGCGGGTGCACAAGAGGCAGCTGATCAATGACTCTCTCTCATTGATGTTTCTGACTCTCTCTCTCTCTCTCTCTCTTCCTCTCTGTAAAAAAATAAAAAAAAAAACAAAACAAAAAACCCCGAACCTTACCCACATGAAGCCAAATGCCAACTCTAAAATATTATCAAATACAACATACCATCAACCATGACATGTTATGAATGTCTGTAATGTGGCAGGCACCATGGTTGACACAAAGAATAAATTTCCTATTATATGTGAGGAAAAATTTATGAAACCGTTTCAATTGGTCCTCAACCCTGTGAAAAAGGCAAGACAGGGATGATTAGCTCCTGAACAAACAAGTTCAGAGAGATTTAATGATTTGACCAAAGTCCCACTGCTGGTTAGTGCAAGACAGTAGGTTCTTTCCATTTCTTCAAACTGCCCTCAACATGCTTATATTCTAGTTGGAGAGGTAAAATACTAGCATACATGAAGAAACAATGCCCTACTCAATTAATACCTATTGAGCCGGGACAGGTTTGGCTCAGTGGATAGAGCGTCGGCCTGCGGACTGAAGGGTCCTGGGTTCGATTCCGGTCAAGGGCATGTACCTTGGTTGCGGGCACATCCCCATTGGGGGGGTGTGTGAGAGGCAACTGTTCGGTGTTTCTCTCTCATCGATGTTTCTAACTCTCTATCCCTCTCAATTCCTCTCTGTGTAAAATCAATAAAATATATTTTTTTTTAAAAATACCTATTGATATGATGGTGGTGGAGATAAAGCAGGGATAGTGATGGTGATGGCAATTAGTGATGATGATGGTGGTAATGATGATGGTGATGACGATGATGATGGGAGACTCTAAGGCACAGATGTGGGTGCCAAATGACCAGCAGAGATGATGCATGCTAATGGGACTCACCTGAATCGTCGCCATACCAGTCAGCCTGGACATCCATCATGGAACTCATGGCTCCTCCTATACCATCTGATCTTCCCTCCAAACTCCGAGAGAAGTGATGATGATCCGCGTCGTCTTTGCTCTGGACCGCACCGTTGCGCAAGAGGGCCTCCAAGAACTGCTTCACGTGGTAGTTGCCGTAAGACATGTCCATGGGATGGCTACTGGGCAAACCCTCCTCCACGTGGGATAGGCTCAGTGGAGCAGCGTAATGCTGCAGCTGCTCACCGACCTCCACCTGCTCCACTTCGTCAGCATCAAACTCCACCTTCGGCTCTATCTGCTTGGGCAGGGCAGAGAGGTCACTGTCAGCTGAGCCGCTGCCCTCGCTGTCCTTGACCGCCGGTTCCAGGGGGTGGCAGTCACCGCAAGGGGATTCCTTGGGACAGTCCACACACTCTTCTTCCTTGGCTGTAGAGGAGACCAAGCTCTTGGTATCACAGGAGGCCCCCTCCGTGCCTGAACCGGGGCTCCCACCGTCCACCTGGTGAGCTGCTGCCGCTGCCACCGCTGCAGCCACCGCAGCCTCCTTCTCCATCTTTCGGCAGATATCAAAGGACGACCGGATATACGTCTTGCAGAAGTTTACCACGTCATTCATCTGTAGGTAGCTGGCGGCCGACATAACTTCGATCACGTTTTCCCCACACAAATCCAACTTCCCCGAATACAGGAAGTCTAGGATGATGGAAAAGGCATCGGAGGTGACAATGTCCAAGGAGGCGGTGCTGTGCCGCCCACTGTCCTGGATGTAGTGAATGAGCAGGGCTCGGAAGTAGCCGCTGTTGGCAAACAGAATGTTCCTGTGGGCCTTGAAGATCCGCCCTTCCACAATGATGCTACAGTCACAGAAAAAGTCCCGCTTTCGCTGTTCATTCAACTCCCCCAAGAGCTTGGCATAATAGGATTGCACCTCCATGTCTTCACCAGCTGCTGCTGCTCCCGAGTAGCCTATATCTCTGCCAAGATTTTCAAAAAGTTGATTCACAAATTTCAACCTTACAAATAAGATGTTTACTTTTAATATTTAAAAAAAAAAAAATGTTTCCCTGCCCTGCTGGCGTGGCTCAGTGGTTGAGCGTTAACTTATGAACCAGGAAGTCATGGTTCAATTCCCAGTCACGGCACATGCCTCGGTTGTGGGCTCAATCCCCAGTGTGGGGCCTGCAGGAAACAGCCAATCAATTATTCTTTTTTTTATACATATTTTTATTGATTTTCCACAGAGAGGAAGGGAGAGGGATAGAGAGCTAGAAACATTGATGAGAGAGAAACATCGATCAGCTGCCTCCTGCACAACCCCCTACTGGGGATGTGTCCGCAACCAAGGTACGTGCCCTTGACCGGAATCGAGCCTGGGACCTTTCAGTCCGCAAACCGAAGCTCTACCGCTGAGCCAAACCGGTTTCGGCAACCAATCAATTATTCTATCTCATCCTTAATGTTTCTCTCTCTCTCTCCCCCGCCCCCTTCTTCGCTGAAATCAATAAAAATCTATTTAAAAAGAAAAAAAATTCTTTCCCAAACATTGGTTCAGTAGTGTCTTTATGATGTGGACTGCTTTGGACCTTACAGAAATAAGAGGTTGTCCAACTGAGTTAATTTATAAAAAACAACAATTGTGTGTTGGTACAGTACATAGTGTTTGATTCTTTCAGTAAATTTTTAAAAAAATATATTTTATTGATTTTGTACAGAGAGGAAGGGAAAGAGATAGAGAGCCAGAAACAACGATGAGAGAGAGTCATCGATCAGCTGCCTCTTGCACACCCCTCACTGGGGATGTGCCTGCAACCAAGGTACATGCCCTTGACCGGAATCGAACCCGGGACTCCTCAGTCCCCAAGCCGACGCTCTATCCATTGAGCCAAACCGGTCCCGGCTCTTTCAGTAAATTTTTATTAAAACTCCATGACAAGACACCAATATTGTCCCCATTTTTCCAATAAGGAAATTGAAACTCAAAGAAAATAGGAGCCCTATCTGGTCTGGCTCAGTGGATAGAGCATCGGCCTGTGGACTGAAGGGTCCCGGGTTCGATTCCTGTCAAGGACACATGCCTGGGTTGCAGGCTTAATCCCCAGTAAGGGGCATGCAGGAGGCAGCTGATCGATGATTCTCATCATTGATGTTTCTGTCTGAAATCAATAAAAAAATATATTTTTTTTTTCCCTAGAGCATCTTTTTATTTATTTATTTTTATATATATTTTATTGATTTTGCACAGAGAGGAATTGAGAGGGACAGAGAGTTAGAAACGTTGATGAGAGAGAAACATCAACCAGCTGCCTCTTGCACACACCCCACTGGGGATGTGCCCGCAACCAAGGTACATGCCCTTGACCGGAATCGAACCCGGGACCTTTCAGTCCATAGGCCAACGATCTATCCACTGAGCCAAATCGGTCCCGGCATATTTTTAAAAAAGAAGAAGATAGGAGATGACCCAGATGCACTACACTTACTTTCCTCAAAGCTCAAAATACACATAATATCCAAATTTAAGAATTACAGTTCAGCCAGCTGGTCTGGCTCAGTGGCTAGAGCTTCAGCTTGTGGACTGAAGAATCCCAGGTCCAGTTATGGTCAAGGGCACCTGCCTGGGTTGCAGGCTCGGTCCCCAGTGGGGGCGTGCAGGAGGCAGCTGATCAATGATTCTTTCCCATCATTGATGTTTCTTTCACTCTCCCTCTCCCTCTCTGAAATCAATAAAAACACATGTAAAAAAAGAATTACAGTTTGGTCTACAGCGTCCTGACACAGAGCCTAGAGACTGGCAACTCGTCTCAGCTCACATCTATTATTATCACTTTGTGGAAACATTGGTGAGTTCTTGGGCCTGCCAGTATGCATTCACCATTCAGCTTTGACTGTAAACACCCATCCCCCAATGTTGGCCAATGATTTTTGCATCTGGCTGGTGCCAACCCCAGGCTCCACCCTCTGACCACAGTGATTGGTTCAGAGATGGCAATATGGCTTGGTCAGAGCCAATAAAAAGCAGTGAAATGTTTACTAGTCCTTCCCCAAAAGATTACTCTGCTCTGGGAGCAGGTGGGATGTGAGGGGTGCTGCTGTCATACCAATAGGGGAACCAGCCCAACAGAGCCCAGCTCAGGCAGGAGCAATAGACAGAGCCCATCGGAGTCCTAACTCCCGCGGTGCCAGAAGCCAATTAAGTCCCTTTGCTAAGCTGATCTGCGTTGGGTTTTCTATCTCTTGCAACTAAAGGACTCCTAACTACGCTTGGTTCACTCTTCCGTCTTTCTCTGTCCTGGCCCTTGTTCGCCTGTGGACTACAAGCCCTCTGTCTTATTTATTTGATATCCCCCACAGCACCTGATAAATACTTTGGACAGGTAGGCGTGCTAAATACAACAGAGTACTGTTTTCATAACTGCTAAGTAGCACCGATATAAATCAAATTCCAAATCCTTCTGCTAAAATCCCACCTGTGTATATGCCTTCGCACGTATATGCATGAATTTTTTCTGGAGGGTTATATAAACAAGAGTTACCTTCTTCCCGGCGCTCCTCCTCCATCTTTTCCCATCATCAACATCACAGAGCCATCCATCAATACCCCTTTTACTTACTGACCCACTGGTACATCATCTCCCTTTACTGAAATCGCAAAAAGCCTAGTTAGAGCTGCCAACCATAGCTAACAACTCTTTTTTTAAAAAAACATATTTTATTGGTAAACCCCGGAGCAAGGTCCTGCCTACCCGAGGCCGCTGCGGTGTCTGACCAGAGAGATGGAAACATCGATGATGAGAGAGAATCACTGAACGGCCGCCCCCAGCACGCCCTCCACTGGGGATGGAGCCCACAACCCAGGCATGTGCCCCTGACTGGAATCGAACCTGGGACCCTTCAGTCTGCAGGCTGATGCTCTAACCTCTGAGTTAAACCAGCTCGCCCAGTCCAGAGGCTCTTGAGATTCTTTTCCAGGGTTCCTCAAGCCCAGAACTTTTCGTGGTAATACTAGGACATTATTTGTCCTTTTCACTCTGATTCTTTCATGAGTGTTGAATGGAGTTTTCTAGAGACTGACATGACTGATATCACAACAAATTAAAATGTGGAAACAGATGTGAATGCCACTCCTTTCTAGTAGGCCAGGCATTAAAGAGATTTGAAAAATGTTGAACAGTGCCTCTCTTCTCACTAGTTTTGTTTTGAAAACTATTTCTTAAAATTGATTTTAGAGAGAGAAGGGAAGGGGGAGGAGGAAGAGAGTGAGAGAAAGAGAGAGAGAGAGAGAGAGAGAGAGAGAGAGAGAGAGAGAGAGAGGCAGGCATTGGTTTGTTGTTCCACTTAAACATTCATTGGTCTTGTATGTGCCCTGACCAGGCATGGAACTCAAAAGCTTAGTATTTTGGGATGATGCTCTAACCAACTGAGCTCCATGGCCAGGGCCTTGAAAACTGTTTTAATAAAAAGTTTTGCTTAATAAATAAATAAATACATAAATACATAAATTTTTTATATATATATATATATATATATATATATATATATATGTGATTTTTTACAGAGAGGAAGGGAGAGGGATAGAGAGCCAGAAACATCGATGAGAAACATCAACCAGTTGCCTCCAGCACATCCCCTGTGCCCACAACCAATGTACATGCCCTTGACCGGAATGGAACCTGGGACCCCTCAGTCCGCAGACCGACGCTCTATCCACTGAGCCAAACCGGCATAGCTAACAACTCTTTAGCATGCTTCCTTTCTACAAATGCAGCACAGCAATGCCTCACCCAACCAGAAATCAGGCACTTTCTTCCCCAAAAAAGGGCCCTTTCACTGGCAAAAATAGATTCCCCAAGGCCTATGGCACAGGCTTTATTCATAACAGACCCACCACAGCCTTATCAAAGGGCAATTTACACCTCCTTACACCTATGGATAGCAAGTGAGTTTCCAGTAAGTTTGGAAACTAGAGAGTCAATTAGGAAGAGAAATGAAGAGGAGCCTCTATAAGCAAGTAAACTGACAAACTTAAAAGTGAGAACTGACAGGTGGGAAAAGGAAAAAACAGTTCTAAAAACTTCACCTCGGAATTTGTAAAATGTCAGCCTGAGGCCACTTAGCTAAGGGTATTAAAGGCTCCTACACATTCAAAATGGCCTAAGGATATCACTGAATGATAGCCCAGGGCTATAAGTGTTGGACCTATCATCAAAGGAGACTTTTATACTTTTATATTGTTTTAAACTCAAATCATGTCATCATTTTGGAAATTTTCATTGAAAGTAGTTAAAATGAACATTTTGGTTCAAAAAGGAAGGGAACTGTCAGATATCTGAGAAAGTCTACTATTCCCAAGTAAATCAACCCTGAAAGTTTTCACAGGATGAAGGTTTCACTGTCATTCTAACCTCTTCCAATAGCTCCAAGCAAGCCTTCCCAGCAGTTCCTGCCACTGCCTTTGACAATCAAAATGACAAGGGAGCCTTAGCCGGTTTGGCACAGGGGCTAGAGCATCGACCTATGGACTGAAGGGTCCCAGGATGGATTCCAGACAAGGGCACATGCCGGGGTTTTGGGCAGCTGGTCAATGACTCTTTCTCATCATTGATGTTTCTATTTCTCTCTCCCTCTTCCTTCCTCTTTGAAATCAATTTTTTTTAAAAATGGTAAGGGAGCCAAGACCGGTTTGGCTCAGTGGATAGAGCGTCGGTCTGCGGACTGAAAGGTCCCAGGTTCAATTCTGGTCAAGGGCATGTATAATACCTTGGTTGCGGGCACATCCCCACTGTGGGATGTGCGAGAGGCAGCTGATTGATGATTCTCTCTCATTGACGTTTCTAACTCTCTATCCCTCTCTCTCCTCTCTGTAAAAAGTCAATAAAATATATTTTTTAATTTAAAAAAATGGTAAGGGAGCCCTGGCGGGGGGTGGGAGGGAGG